ATATAGTGAATGTCATATTAGATAATTATTTTTCAAAAATATTTTTTTAGTTTTCGAAGAAAATGTTAAAAAACGTTATAATTTCAAGAAAGCCATGTAATTATAGTGGTTCATTCACAGATGGCACCACTATAGTTTTTTTTTTCTTTACACTTTTTAAGTAGAATTACATAATTTTTTAAAAACAATTCCACTACTTATTCGAGATATGGAAATATTGAGATAAAGTTATTAGAAAATTAGCTTACAAAATATTTTATATTTTATTTTAGCATTTTGATATGAAATATAAAATATCTCATAAACTATTCATTTTTTGATAATAAACCGAGATTAAAATTAATTTACATTAATAGAAATAGACATTAATTAATTACTTTAATCAATCTGAATTCTCATTAAAATCGACTAAAATACAATTCAGCGAAGCTATTGCGTAATTCTCTAGTTTTGAGTTTCTTACACGTAACCGACCGCATCGCGCGGTCTGAATTAGTTGCTGTGCTACAAACTTTTAAAAGATCGCAGAAAAATGGATATATCGCGAGAGCGATATATATTCCGCACCAAAGAACAAATTGAAAAATCAAAAAATAAATTAACACCGAAATATGAGGAGTTAGCAGATCGATACAGTTTTATTTGGAACTGGAAACCACAGACTGATATGTACATAACCTTATTATATCGTTTTTCTTTTAAACTTAAGGATTGTTTTAACAGTGCATCGGCGTGTGAATACTTTGAACGATTCGTTCATTATTCAGACTCGTCGAAGAGACTACCCTACCCGGATAGCAAAATGCTAGTAGTCTGTTGTTAGATTGGCAGCAAATTCCATCACATTGCAAATCCATAGCAATCTGTGTCTGCTTTAAGCTCAGAATTTGTCCACAGCTTATTAACATACTATGCCAACAGATTTGGAGACAAAAACTGAGGAGATCTTGCCTTCAAACTATCTGCAACAAGATCTGGTTTCTGCTACCAATCTGCTTATATTCCTCGTCAGTATTCTGTCATATTTCTGACAGCAGTTTGGCAATATAATCAGATAAAAGATTTTGTATTAGATTTTAGATTTGTTACCTTTCTGATATCAAAAACTTGTAGCAGGTTTTATTCAGAATTTGCGAAAGAATAAAATGATTCTTATGAATGATATTCTCAAATGAGATTCTCAATAAAATAGTAAATTTTTTGTCTAGATGGCCATTGTCATATAGCCGCAGTATCCTGGTTAGTATGGCGACGCTTACTGGTATATATCTTAATCATCGATTTAGAGCAAGGCTAAAGATGCGAAATTATGGTGCAATACCTACATTTATAGGAGTTACAACAACCTCAGCTGCAACTACAGCTTATATTCATACAGAGGTATTAACTGAAATGAGACTAATGAATATAAGCATTTGGCATCCTATGAATGAAGAATGTAATAATACAAGATATATATATTTCTTATATATTTCAGTTTGTCCTGAATAAATTATTATTATTAGAGATACCATGTGCTTTATGCTTGGAGTCTCAGTCTGCTTTGTTACAAAGTTGTACTGGAGTGTTTCTACCACTAATACTCATACCATTTGGAAACTTCTCAGTAAGAAACAAACATTTGCTTTATTACTTTATTTTATAATATCTGTATCACATTATGATATTCTTTTATATTTTTAGGAATTATATTTCAATTTTTTTATTATGTCATTTATTACATTTGATTTATAGATTGCTGCTGGCAGTGGAGTATATAATGTACCACACATAAGTGACATAAAAGGAATATTTAGAACTATTTTCTCGACTTATCAGCCATTGATTCCAAAAATTGTAACAATTTTCACTTTTCAAACACTAATAGCTGGTTTTCTAACATATTCAGAAATAAAATCTTATCTTCGTGTATTAGATTTACAATATTT